AAAAAAAAAAAACAATTAACGATCATGGATTACAAAAAAATCGAATCAAGTATTACAAAAAAATCTATCATGGATTAACAAAAAAAAAAAAAAAAAAAAAAAAAAAAAAAAATAACCATACGGGACTCACCGATTCCGTACAGTGAATCGGCGAGTCACTGTGCAGAATCGTCTGGTTCTCTCTAGAACCGGACGATTCCCGTTTTTTTCGCCGATTCGATCTGTCCATGGCGATTTCCTAGTCGAACCGGGCGAGTCCTGTTCGACTCGGTGTTTTTTTAAACACTGGTTTTAGGCTTTAAGCTTTTTGTTTAGTGGTAAAGAATGTGTCCAAAGATGGGTCAAAGGTTCTCTTACCCTTCCAAAAGAGATGCAAAGAAAACTATTGAAAAGCATGTTCTCATTTAGTGATAGCCATTTTATGCAAGCACCAAATATTAGAGGTCTTTTATATTGGGAATGCATCCCATGTGGTACAGTTTGGGCCTTTGGGCAACATTCATCCTTGCCATAAGCAACATGAGGTGAGCAAATAACTGGGTATGGGTACTTGCTCATTCCACTTCTTGTTGTAGCAAATGAAATTAATAGAGAAACTTGCACAATGAAATGTATTGCTTAAATAAAACAATGAAATTTATAGAAAATAAACAGTTTGGACTTGGAAACCCTCTTGAGTGTGTGTAATTTGCTATTGTGGAAGCAAGTTATACACTTAGTTCCCTAGGCAAATGATTGATTGTCTAGTTTTGAAATTTCTTGATCAACTTTAGAATCACTAGATTGGTATTTTCTCAAGAAAAAAAGCAATAGAACTTATGTACCTAAAGACCTAGATTTCACCATTAAAAAATTGAATTGTTTTTGATCGATCTAAGGGCACGAGGTTAGACCCCAAAATTTGGTAGCCTAAAAATACTCTCTCATGGTTTTACTGAATTTATGATATGCTCTAGCAGGAGCAAATACAACTTGGCTTTCTGTTCTTCTTTATTTTGTACTTATGTTCTCTACCCCCGTTGGGTTAGGTCGGGGGATGTCCCATCAGGTACATGTACATTTTTATTAAGATTGGATTGGCCATCAAATTAATCTTGGCCCAATCAAAACTGATTCGACTATGGTTGAATTAGATTTTAAAATAAAAATAATAACTAAAAACGTAATATTAATTAGAAAACTGCCCAACTTTCTCTAGCAGGTCGTACCAGTCAAAATCAGTGGGTCTAACCACAATAACTTTTCAAACATGAGTTTAATTAATTTGACATAACTTGAATTTTATTTTGGACCATACCTTCCAAATCATTGATCAATAGTCAGATTGGTCAAACTAGCTGGTCAAATCCAATCATAACTTTGACCCAGCGGCCCGGGCCGCTAGTCTAACCAATCTAAGATCAAATCACAGTCAATATCCATCCTTGTTTTGCTCTTCGTAAAACTTTAAAATAGTGGTTAGTAAAGAATTGATGTTTTCGTGACATTATGAAACCCAATTATAGTTGATGGAGCTGGTTTGGATTAATTTTGGGTAACACCAACTAAACGTTGGACTCTCAGACTAATTCAGCAGACTTTTCATATGTTTTTCACTTGAAAAGGCATTATATCCAGCCTGGTTCAAAAGGGAAAGGTTTCTATACTCCTTTACTGCGAAGATATATACTTTCCCCTCTATCCAGCAGTTCAATTTAGATCAAGTGAGCTATTGATCATTTGACCTAGATCTAACGTCTTAGCGTATTTTTTTTTTTTATATATAAATTATTCATTGAAATTTGATATGTGCTATCATCTCAATAGGGCGCACCTAAAACAAATAATAAAAAGAATTTTTTAATAAAATATAATGATCCAAATGCCTCTTGAATATTTCAGGAGTATTTTGGTTATTTTATTTTATTAAATTTTTTTTTATATTTTTTAGAGACACAAGTTTAAAAGAGTAATGAAAGCCCAAAATTTGGTGTCAAAATAATTTGTAAACACATAAAAATTAAAAATAAAATAGTGTAGAAACATTACATTGTGTTTGAGGCCATCTCAACCATCCTCTCAGAATGGATAGTTGGATAAAGAGAAGTATATAAGTTTTATGCCGCAGGGAAAGAGTACAAAGCTTTCCAGTTCAAAATCCTGTAGAAATTCAAAACTAGCCCCTATCTCACACTAAAAGAACTTTAAAGAAAATAAAACCATTCCCCTGGACCTTATCACTTTGTATGTAACTTGGACAACTATAGCCATGGTTTTTTACATAAGTGAAACATTGAAGACAACATGTATATTTGACATTTTAGAAAAATAGGCATTTCTTCTTTGACCTTTCCTCTTAAAATCTCACTATGAGAAAACTTAATGTCACCTTCCAAACCCCACATGGCTAAGGCTGGCAATGGACCCGGTGGTTAGGCCTTGTAAAACTAAGGCCTAAGCCACAAAGTGTTGCCCGAGGGCTGAGCCACCACGGCCCAAGGGTAGGGCTGGGCCGAGCCTAGGCCACGGCCATGACAGGACTACCCAGACCTTTGTTTCTTTTTTTTTGTTTACCCATGAAGTTTATCAGGCTCAGCCCAGCCCTCCCCAAGCTACTTCGGCCTCATCAAGGCCGTGCCAAGCTCGGCCCAGGCCTTTAGAGATGAGGGATGGGCTAGGGCAAGGCCTCTGGACTCGTTACTTGCCGTACTCATGGTCAATTTTGAAATTGACGCATTTGAAACTTGCATCTATGTTAGACATTGTCGCACAATATCTGCATCTTATGTAAAATAAATCATCATCAGTTGGAAGAAAAGGGAAAAGGCAAAAAAATAAGAGACAAATATACAAAATAACTAGTCATATTGCACTTCCCTAACCCTAACATTAGTAAACCAAGACAAAATCAAAATACACTTTATACTAACAATGTCTCCATGAGAAAAATAATATTAACAACATTAATAATAACAATAAAATCAACACTAGTAGATCTAAACCCTAGAATCCCCCTTCTCCTCCTCCTCACCCAGTTGTGGAACTCCCTCTATCTCCCTCAACAAAGACACCACCTCCAACATATTAGGCCTCCTTGATGGCAAATCCTCTACGCACCTCATAGAAATATCCAGATACCTGCGCATCTTTTCGACCTCATTTTCCCCATAATTGCCTTTCAAATTCACATCAATTACCTCCATTCCCCTGCCTTGTCCCGTACGTGTGCCTTGACCCAACCCACCAAGTTGGTCTCACCAAACTCCTCTTTATCAGTGGGCCTCTTACCTGTCAAAATTTCAAGCATGACGACTCCAAAGGAGTACACATCTCCTTTGGCTGTGCACCTGAAACTTTGGTAGTACTCAGGGGGAACATAACCTGGAGTTCCAGCTAAAGTGCTCACACTTAAATGTGTATCAAGGCAACTTATCAGACGAGCCATGCCAAAATCTGAAACCCTAGCTTCCATGAATGAATCTAAGAGAACATTGCTTGATTTCATGTCCCTGTGTATTATATGGGGAATGCAGTTATGGTGTAGGAAAGCCAGTCCCTTTGCTGCTCCTTTTGCTATCTTCTTTCTCAGCTCCCAGCTCAAAAACCCACCTGTCACAGTTGGCTTTTCGATGGAAAAACCGGTCTTTTCACTGGAAAATGCCATCAATGGTTTTTCCTTCTTATCATTGTAAAAGGCCATCTTTTCGTTTCCTGCATTCTCCTTGTTTTCTCCATGAAAGCCCATCTTTTCATTTCCTGAATTCTCCTTCTTGTCCCCATGAAAACCCATCTTTTCATTGCCTGGGATCTCCTTCTTTTCGCCAGAAGTACTAGCCTTATCTCCGAAAAGCTTGTTCCTATCACCATGGAGCATTTCCTCAAGGCTGCCAAATTCCATGTATTCATAAACCAGAAGCCTTTCTTCTCCAATTTTGCAGTAACCCAGGAGTGGAACCAAGTTCCTGTGCTTGATTTTGCCCAAGGTTTCCATCTCCGCCATGAATTCTCGATCGCCTTGACAACTCAAACGAATGAGCTTCTTAATGGCAACGCTCGATCCATCCTTTAATGTGGCCTTGAACACTTCACCAAAACCACCAGACCCTATCAAACTCCCCGCACAAAACCCATTAGTGGCCTCGATAAGCTGAGAAAATGTGAGCTTTCTCAGTGGCCTTTGAAAAGTGGCCACATTTATACTGAGAGGCTCCTTCTCTTTTCCAATCTTCCATGTCGTTGCATAAGACGCTTGCAAGCTATTGATCATGGCTGCCTTTGCAGCAGCTGCAGCTCTCCTCCTTCCCCTTACAGTAACAGCCCAAACAATCAAAACACAGGTCGTAGCCATTGAAACAAGTATCCCCAAAACCATACTATTAGCCCAAGTGGCTGGCCTGGGCTTGACCGGAACTTCTGCTGAGTAATTACCAGAGCCATTTAAACTAGGGTTATCACTTTGACAAGGAGCCAATGGCACCCCACAAAGGCCTGGATTGTCTCTGTATTGCGAGGCAGGCAGAGTGCTCAATTGACCCCTTGACGGTATCGGCCCTGTTAGTGCATTATCAGAGAGATCAATTTGAACCAAGAATGTGAGGTTAGAGAAACTCTCTGGTATTCTCCCCTGTAAATGGTTATGAGATGCGTCAAAAACCCCAAGATACCTCAAATTTCCAAGACTTGAAGGAATTTCACCTGTGATTTTGTTGTGTGAGAGCCCAAGAACTTGAAGAACAATCATGGAGCCGAATTCCTCGGGTATACTTCCATTGAGATTGTTATAAGAGAGATCAAGGTACTCTAGGCTTTGGTAATGGGTCCAATCATTTAAAGCAGCTCCAGAATAAAGCCTTGTAAAATCACAGGTTTTCAAAGTGGGCACCTGCAAAAGCCTCTCAGGCCTAATTCCTGCAAACTCAAGCAAACCACCAACTCCTTTGCATGAATTCCCAACATTTCTAACAAAGGCCAATGTATTACCAGAAAGAATACCACTTAATGGCTTTTCATTTGGTTTCCGTCCAAGATAGGCCGGAATCACGCCGGAGAGCTGGTTGCTATTAAGATCAAGCCAAACCAAGCTACTGCAATTTCCAAGCTCTTTAGGAATAACCCCACTAAAGCTATTGTTAGCGAGTTGGAGAATTGCAAGCCTTTTTAGTTGCCCAAATTCCGGAGATATTTGGCCTGAAATTCCATTACTAGTGAGCGAAATCCACTCCAAATTGCTAGAATTGAAAATTTCAGGCGGCATTTGGCCAGAGAGGAGATTGTTGTTCAAAATCAAGGTCTTTAGATTGCTGCAATGGCCTAGCTCTTTTGGGAGTGGACCAGAGAGGCCGTTAAACCAAGCCATAAAGTGCTCCAAATTTTTGAGGCCACCAAATTCAGGAGGTATGGTCCCATTAAGATAGTTGATACTGAGATCAATGGTTTTAAGATTAGGACATTGAGCAAGACTCGGTGGAATTCCACCAGAAAGCAAATTATCCGGCAACCTGAGCTCCTCTAACAAAGCAAGACCAGGGCAAAGGTTTTCAGGGATATGGCCAGAAAGCTTATTGGAGCTGAAGTCCATAACTTTGAGGTTTTTGCAGTTGGAAATGGAGGCTGGAATTTCACCTGAAACGAAGTTATTGCTCATGAGAAGGGTCTCTAAGGCTTGCAAGTTTCCAGCAATGGAGTCATCAAAAGGTCCGGATATGTTGTTGTTGGAGAGATCAAGGAGTTTCAGAGAAGAGCACGGAGAAAATGAAAGAGGAAACGAGCCAGAGATATTGTTAGAAGAGAGCCTCAATTGCTGTAGAGTTTCACAGCTATTGGCGAGCTCTTGGGGTATGATCCCATTCAAATGGTTTTGAGAGAGATCAAGACTCTGCAGTTTCGTGAAGCCCTTGAAGGAGACGGGGATTCCCCCGGATAATCCATTAAAGGAGAGATTCAAGGTGTTGAGGTTATAACAATCTGATAAACTCGATGGAATCTCACCGGAAAGAGTGTTTTTCGACAAGTCAAGATACAAAAGGGCATTACAAGAGTTCTCTGACCAAATGGGCCCTGAGATATTGTTGTAAGAGAGGTCGAGAAACTGAAGATTGTCCGAAATTCCCTTAGCCAAGAGATTCTCAGGCAAGGATCCAGAGAGGTTGTTATGAGGGAGTTGCAGGGAGATGAGGTTCGGGTTATTCAAGAACAGGCCCTCAGGAACAGAGCCAAAGATTCCATTGAAAGATAAATCAAGGTACTGCAAACTTGGTGGCAATTGAACGAGAGAAGAGGCATTAAGAAAGAAGGAATTGAAAGAGAGATTAAGGACAAGTAGGGAGTCCATCGAAGCCAAGGTGGTTAAAGGAAGAGAACCAGAAAGTTCAGCTTGGCTCAGGTCAAGTTTTGTTACTCTCTGTGAAGTGCAAGAAACTCCATACCAGTTGCATTGGCCTTTGTTGGGTACCCACCCGTGCAAAATTCCCTTTTTGTCCTTCTCGACAGCCTTCTTGAACATCAGGAGGGCCTCGAAATCGGTCTTTTCGCCATCCGAGCTATCGACATGTCGAACAGAAGGCAATAAAACGAGGAAGAAAATAAGGACAACAAGAGCTCTAAGTTTTCCGTCCAAGTCCATTGAAGACGAGAGTGTAGAGATCATGGCTCGTTTTTTGGCATCGGTGTTTTAGAGAGAGAAAAACTTGAGGATTTTTAGAGAGAGAAGAATGGAACGAGAGCCTAGACAACTCTACTCTGCTAAAGGGAAGCTACCAGGTGAATGAAGCGAGGGAAATCTCGTACAGGGAGATGAGGTCCAACTTAAGGGAGGAAAAGCTAGTGAAGGAGAGAGAGAGTTTTTAAATAAGTAGAGAGAGAAAGAGGGAGGAGATGAGAATAAAGAGGTGGGGCTCGAGGGGGGAGAAAAACAGGTATGAGAGAGAGAGATGGGGTGGTCAAAAAGAGAGAATCCGACAGGAGTGGAGTGAGGAGGAGTGATAAGGCGTTTTGGATATGAGAGATGAAAAGGGGAGTCAGTCGAGAGAGAGAGAATGCTTTAAATCGAAAGCTTGGCCTCCCACCGTTGGTAAAGTCAAGTTGCACGAGGAATGGGCCCATTGCCTCATTTTCTTGGACTCCAACCACGCCTTGCAGCCTCGAGTGCCACACTTGAATTGCCCAAAACATCAAAAGTAGATTCTCTCTCTCTCTCTCTCTCTTTCTTGTCAAGTCTCTCTCACTCTCTCTCCTCTCTCTTTCTCTTTCTCTAATGTGAAGTCTCTCTCTCTCTCTCAATATCTCCTCTCCATCATAGAAGTTACATGATGCTTGCTCTCATTTCGACCTGTCACTTCGTATACAGTAATCCACGTTACTCTCTCTCTCTCATGCTCGACGTTCCATTACATGAAACTTACTGTTACAGTGGGAAAAAAAAAAGGATTTTAAAGGATTTAGATAATGTTCAAGTGTTGTGTACTATTTTTTTAGTTTGTTGGAAATTGATTTAGATACATCATGGATATTATTGTGGCCGAAAGTGCTTTACACATGAAGATTCGAGATGAAGCTTTATTTTGTTTTCATTAAGCCAAGGTTCCATAAAAATTCCATCTTTTTTTCTTTTTTTTTGGTGGCAAATCAATGGGGAATTTGGGCCCAAAGAATACAGTATTGGAATTATATTACAGCATTGGAATTATATTACAGCTCTCTTATAAGGAGTACTTGCAACGTTATATAACCAAACAATCCACAACCACGTTCGATTCTTGATGAGTGTGTGAAATCTCTCATTTTTTACCAGTTGACGATGGCATGTAATGGCAATTGAATCTGCTACAGAACTGGATAAAAAGATGTGATGTTATGACATGGTTAAAAAAGAAAATGCCTAGGTCGTATTTTTTTATTATCATTTAATCATCTATTAAAAATTTAGATTTTCGAATTGCCCAAGATACAAAATAATTGATGTATTTGAAATTTTTGAACTACCGAAATACGTCAACTTTTATTGTATTTCATGTTATTTTCAAATCAGGCGTACTACAAAACTGGATAAAGATGTGATATTATGACATCGTTAAAAAAAAAAATTTAGGTCGTATTTCTTTATTTTTTATTATCATTTTATCCTCGGTTGAAAAATTAATCTTTAAAACTGCCCAAGATACAAAAAATTGATGTATTAACAATTTTTGAGCTACCAAAATACATCAATTTTTATGTATTTCAAGTTATTTTCATGTCAGGCGTCCAATAGGAAAACATTAAAAAAGTAGGATCTCACATAATATATCTAAAAAAAAAAAGAAATGTATACAACAAGATCATTTATTTATGATACAAGCAGGTCACAATTAACATTGACCGTTACATTTGAAATCAGGTGGTTAATGATATGCCATTGTTTAGGCACAAAGTCTAAAATAAAAATTTTGTGACATACTTTTATCTATTGAATTTCATATCAAATAGCCAAGATCAATTGTGACCTCTTTGTACCAAAAAATAATTGGCCTCGTAGTACACAATCCTTATAAAAAATGCAGAGGTCTTTTCTCGAATCCATATCTAAATTTCTTTTATTTTGGCATATGATCAAGATTCGAAAATGGTTTGTCTCTCTCATTCCTTCTCTCTCTTTCACTCTCTCTTTTATAATGTCAAAAACATTATAAAACAAATACACATATGGGTACTCTCTCTCTCTCCCCACCTCTCTCTCTCTCTCTAGACTCGACACATATGAGTGCACTTAGTGACCATCATGGCTATTTCAGACCACCCAGCGCACACAATATATTCTACGAATCCCTTTTTCACAAATGGGAAAAAATAAATATTTGAGCATGAAAACGACATTTAAATACTGGCTAATCCAAAGTTTAATGTTTCTTTTCTTCTTAAAATGGTGCTTCGTTGAACACAAATTTTTTTTTTCTGTAAAAGTCAAAAAAAGAAAAGAGAAAGGCGTAGGTGCGGAGGACAGAAATGATGATGCGGTGCACCAATGCATTTTCAGTGTATGCTCCACCCTCCTACTATTTCTCGATATTAAAAAATATGCAGACAATAATTATTTCACTACAGTTTTCTTTGTTGCTGCAATTACGTAAATTTTCTTAAACAATTCTTTTTTACACCTTTTTTATTCTCATCGTAAATTTTCTTCTACATCAGCCCCTTATAAATGTTTTAAGTCATTTTTGACAAAGTCTGTCTCTGTCAAACTAAAAAGACTTTTTAATTATATAAAAAACACAAAAACTTTTTAGCTTAAAGTCAGGCCGAACTCGGCTTCAAGAAGTTGTCCACGGTCGAAGTGACCTTGAGCTTAAATTTTTTCGTGTTTCAAGGGCATTTTTGTGGAAAATAATTTAAAAACAACACAATGTGAGGTAAATGCAATGAAAAATAATAATAAGATTTATAATGTGGACAAAAAAATTATTGTAAGGTCTATGTGTAGCACATTCCAGATAAGGGATTTTACATAAATTTTCCCTATTGATAATGTATGTATAGTGCCAACCGGGTCTGGAACGGGTAGCCTGCTTCAATCAGGCCCACCCGGGTTGAACTGGGATTCGTAACAATTCGGCTTGTGTTCTTGGTTGAAATGGGACTTGGACCTACGTGCCTAAATAACATTAGAAAAAGTTTTATTATATTAAAACTGATTCTTTTGTGAAGATTGGAAGTTCTCGAACCTTGTTTAAACATTTTAAGTAAGGAAAAAGTTTGTATAAGTTGCAATTTTATACTATTGAAGTAAGGTGGACAGCAAAAATCCTATAGAAGAGAGTTTTCCGACGTTAGAGAACCCTCTAATTGATCATCTCAAGGTCGAGATGTTGGGACATGAAGAAAAAAATATTCAAGTTAAAAAAATAGTACCTCTTGTAACAAGTTATTCGAATTGTCTATTTTTAATATTTTCAAGTGTTTATTGATCTGCTTGATCTGAACTATTTTTTAAATTTAAACTTTATTTTTAAAGATGAAAATAGATTTGCAATTCATCATATGGTTTACGATGCTGGAATGATCTCTAAGTATTTTGATAAGTATGCCTTACTTCTACAGTATAAGGAGGCAACCATATACAAATCTCACCTTTAAATTATTTAAGTTTTGTTTACATTTTGTTTTTTTACATATGTGCAAAATATAAGGGTGTGGTTTGGATATGGCTGCAACCGTAAACAATAAAAGGCACACTTTTAAAGTTTGTCATAAACATAATTTTGGCGCGAAATTTGTTTAAGATGGATTGAAAATCTATTTTCATCTTTAATTATAAAATCTTAAATTTAAAAAATGATTCAAAACATATAGATCTATAAACATTTGAAAATCTTGAAAATAGACAGTCCATATAATATGTTGCAAGATATATTATTTTCAGGATTCGAAATCTTTTTTTCTCTTTGTATTCATTTTTTCTTTTTATATTTATACTTTGATATCGAGATAATCAATTAGAGGGTTTTTCAATATTAAAATAATATTTTATGATAGATTTTTGATGTGCACATTAAAGTTGCAACTTTATATAAACTTTTTTCAAAATATAATACATTCATTAGCTTTCTCCTCCAAGAACATGGTTTGGATTCACTTCATCCATAAATTTTAGATCCACTTCAGAATCACTAGGTGATTATTTCCGTAAAAATAAATTTGAATTTTTAATTCCTAGATATGTCATCAAAATGCTGTTTGATCAGGCAATGGAATTCTTTTCCATTTTTGTTTTTTGAGGTGGAGTGCTCCCGGAAGTCATACTCCAGGATAAAAACTTGGGGGGGTACGGTGCCCCAAGTAAGTAGGGTTTTCTAAACAGCGTGGGAGTGAAACTAGGATATGCTCCTGCGGGAGCATCTATCTCCCGACCTATTTAGGACCGAACACGAGTAACGCAGGCCTGAGTCCGGATAACCCGGCTTGTGTTGGATGGATCCTAACTAGGTTTAAAAAATATAAAAATATAATTTTTTTTAAAAAATACGAAAAATATTTTAAAATAAAATTAAACAAAATACATATAAATGTGGTTAAAAACAGGAAAAAATGGATTTAAAAACAATTTATGACTACAGTTATTTTAGAAACAATTTTAAAAATAAAAAATATAAAAATAAACATTCATGATGAAAACACTTTTCGATCTTTGTCAAAGTGATAAAAGGTATTAAAAAATTATATATCACGAATAAAATTTTAAATTTTTATTAATTTTTTGAGATCCGAGCTTAACCACAAACTTTTGGGGGCCTTGGGACGAGAGTCTGGGCGAGTCCGAATTCGCCTGCCGGAATAGTGGAACAGTTGGAGAGAGAGAGAGAGCAAGCGCCAAATCTTGGTCCAAGATAAATAAAGCAAAAAGTTGAAGGAGAGAGACAAAAAAAAAAAACGGGTCAGGTCATGTCTAGGAGAGAATATCCTACGTACGAGAGAAGGCGAACAGTTGACGCTTGACGCATGGGTAGAGAGAGAGAGAGAGAGAAAAAGTGGGAGTGGGAGTGGGATAGAGAGAGAAATGTATGTGGCACGTGAGACAGTTGACACTTGATTCAGAGCACGTAGCATCGCATGGGTAGAGAGAGAAAGGATGGGTTCTGTTCACTCGTGAAGAGAGAGAAAGTGGGAAAATAAGAGAGAGAAAAAGAATGAAGGAGCAGGAGGTTCACATATTGGATCATGCGTCGCAACAACCCTATCGACTCCCATGATTGGTGAGAGCGACCCTTCCTATGGTACGAAAACATTGGCATTTGAGTTCACGAAATTTCGCGCAATTTCGTCACTGCTCCCGAAACTTTTGGCTCATTCTTGATGCTGCGACACGTGGTGAACTCAATCATAGAAATTCACGTGCATTATTCTTCCATTTACGTCAAATCTCGAGGTGCCCTTTCTCCTTTCTCTCTCTCCTGCCTCTTCTGTTTTGTTGACTTAATGGAGGTTTTCTTCGCTTTATGTGACCATAGAAATTCGATACTTCTCCAAAGTTATTGGTACTATCTAATAAGTATGTTGAAATTCTATACTTCTCCAAGTTATCGGTACCGTCTAATAGGTATGTTGTTTATACGGGCCGGCCATCTTTTTAGAAGTAAAGCTGTCATGTTTTACGTTTTTTA